TTTTATTTCATTTTCTGAAATGAAGATGATGGTGAGGGGGAGCCTGCGGGCGGTGGGGGAGGTGTTGGGGAAACCCATGGTTAGAGAACTTCGCAGAAGAGGCCAAGTTGGTGGAGAAGCAGAAGAGAGAAGGCTTTGGGGACTGTTAGAAAGTGTAGATGATGGTGGGACCTGCCTTGAGGCAGAGAACCAGACAGAGGCCACAGATTACTTCCTGATCTGAGGTAGCACTGGTGGGTGCAGCCTTTGGCCAATAGCAGAGACCATCCCAACAGCAGGGGGTGGGGGAAGGTGGACAGTGGGAGTGTGTGGAGAGGAGAGGTAGGTGCCAGGGCTCCCAAGTTGACGTGAAAGTGGCCATCTACCTGATGCCCTGCCAGGATACGTGTGTCTCACGCAGCTGAACAGAAGGAAATCTCCCCAGTCTGGAGCATTGCCCCAGACAGGTGTGGAACCCTGTCGGTCTCAGAAGGAGAGGGAGTACCAGGCCATGAGGAGGCACTAGAGCCCTCCCAATGTAGGGAGACCCCTTCTCTTGGTCCTGGCACTAAGGAACGGGACCCACATCCCTTCGTATCTCTGTGCCCTGATTTCCACATCTGGAAATGGAGGATAATAAAAAAATCAACTCGCTTTAGAAAAGCACACGAAGCAGGCATGATCATATTAGCACCTCCCATTTGTCTAACGTTAAAGTGCTTCACGTCCCTCACCTCATTGATCCTCTAATCGAGCTTAGGCGCAAATTGTCATCCTCGTGAGGAAACCGAGGCTCCAAGAGGTGAAGTGCTCTCCCGAGAGCAGCGGTGGTCCAGGTTTTCTGATTCTCAGTTCATTGCTTTCTCCAAGATTCTGCTGCTTCCCCATCTGTGAAATGCAAAGACCTTTCAAGAGAAAGGTTGCTCCTTGTTGGGCCATTATTGCCTCTTGTGGCTCCAAATGCTTGCAACCTTAACAAACTTTATTACATTTGCCCCACTCCTGGAACTCAGCCTTTTCCCGCCACAAAGACTGGCTCAGTGCTTCCTTGGGACAAGCTGACAGGAGACTCGGCTGTAACTTTTGCCCTATTTATCCCTGAGCCCAGACAGAATTTCTTAGGATTCCCTGGGGCTCATTCCATTTTCTAGTTCTCAAATAGAGTCAGCGGGAATCATTACTTTCCTGTGGATTCCAGAGAGCTTGACTCTATGACTTCAAAGGCTATTCAAATACTGAGATGGTGTGACTTTATAACCTAGAAGGGGAAAACTCAAAGGCGTTCCCAGGGGTGTTGGGATCATTGCTCAGGGTTGGAAATCACTGAGTTCAGATTCAGTTGAGAAGAGTGTTGGCTCAGACCCTGGGCAGCTCTGGAGCTGGGGGCCTCTTGGCACCTGCTCAAGTGGTGGCAGGTCCCTCACCTGTCTCTGAATCCCCTTTTCACCGCATTTCTGAAATAAACGTGGTAACAGCTGCCTATGAAATGCTTCGTGACCAGGCAGCAGGCTTGTACTGTGGCCAAGTATTATGGAACAGATGCACTTTGTCTGAACCCATCTCCCAAAGCATTCAAGTGGGCAGTGCTTGGAGGCACAAAAAATGCTGTTGCTGGAAGGGGTATTTTAGCAGTTATCTAGCCAGACCATCTACTCCCTAAATATATGCTTATACACCACTCTCAGGGAAGCATGGTCCGGCCTCTGCTTGAATGCTTCCAGTGATGGCAAGCTCACTGTTCCAGAAGACGACACATTTCTCCATTGTACGTCTCTGGCAGGAAGCTCTGCCTTATGAGGCTGGTTGCCTTTAATTTTCATCCCTTTTCTCTAGTTCTGTCCTCTAGGGACTCCCCAAAGTAAATCTAGCATCGACCCCCACTTCTATCCTTTATATACAGGATGTACTTGAAGGGGGCTTTAATGGCTTTTCTTTCAAGGGAGCCCACAGGTGTGGATGCCATTTTCAGAGAAGGTGGGAAAAGTGGCACTGAGGCATTGGGTCCTGCCTTTGTCTCTTCCAGCCCTTGAGGACTAAGAACGAAGCGCTCCCTTTACCCCCTGACTTCAGTAGATGCAGGCAGCCTGTCCATTTTACTGTGCAGCTTATTGTCAGAGCGGTGCGTATTGTACCTCCGCATAAGGACATAGTAAAACATTAGGAGGACAATTTAGAAAGGAAGGAAGGAAGGATTAATTGACTTAGCGGAGGATGAAATGCGTCTATGATGGTTTCAGCACTGAGGCAGAAAAAAAGATGCTAGCTCTGTCGTGTGCACCTGTGGCCCTTGGAAGGGATATTTATCACAGATGGACTAGGCTTCTGTTTAGTCATGTAGGGATTAGAAGCCACTGGTCCCTCCCTGCCATGAACAATCCTCAAGACCACAGGCTTATAGGGAAGAGCATTTCAAAGACACCCAGACTGAGGCTATATATTCTATGCCCAGGGTAAAGAGTTTCTGATGGCTCAGATGCCTGACATTCTAGGATTCATTTTGTGCTTGAGAAGCAGAGTGGGGAAAGATTAAGGGATTTGAGTACAAAAGCCTAGGTTTGGCTATAGACTCTGTTGCTTCTTGGCTATGTGACTATTGGGCAGGTCACTTCACCTCTATAAGCCTGTTTCTGAATCAGTAAAATGGAGAAGCAAATTCCTGAACTGTGGGGTGTATGGCTGTGTGTGTGTGTGTGTGTACAAGTGTGCGAGCTCACTGTTTTCAGGATTAAATGTGCGGAAGTTTCTTCCGTAAACTGCGTTAACTACTGTCAACTTTAGAATGGTCTGCCCAGACGTCCTTCTCCAGTCATCCAATATAGCAAGTGCTAGTCTGTAAGGTGACAGCTTTTTACTGCATTCAGTTTTTTTGAAAGTTAGATTACATAAATAGGTTTGAGTCTTTATCAACCAGTAAGTATACATTAAAGAGTATAACACGGCTCTTAACTGCTTTTATAAGTCTTGAGAAAAGGAACTTTTGTCTTCCATTTTAGTTTGAAATCTTTGTAATATGTTACGGACCCACACACGTGTATCTTTGTAGTTTGCACCTCAGGCCACCAGGAAAATATCAAGTTACATTCTAAAAAATCACACCCACCTAGAACCTTTGGTGTTGTTGCTTTTTCCATCCATCCATTTATCCTTTCATCCACCCATTAATTCATCCACTCCATGGACACATTTACTACATCTCTGCTATGTGCTGTGAAGTATTCAAAGTGGTTCCTGTCTAAAGAGGTTACAGTATAGGTGGGGATTTGAGAGATGAGCACACATAACAGCAACATATGGCAAAGTGAAGTAAGTACTGCACGATATTTACAAACATCCTGCTTTGGAAACTTGAGGAGAGAACAATTCCTGCTCCCCACTAGTGGGAAGAGGGGGAGGGCTTAGTGTAGACTTTACCTGCTCAAACAAATAAAATCAAATTAAAACCCACATACAGTGCTAGAGTGTGGGCATTTTGAGTCCCCCTGTGTTTTGTTCCTGGTTTCCCCATTTCTTAGCTGTGTGGCTTTGAGCAATTCTCCATTCCTCAGATTTCTCATAATAGTACCTATCGCCTGCAATTGTTGTAAAGGTTAAATGAGATAATGCAGTATCCAACATGTAGTAAGAAGTCAATAAATGTCAGTTGATATTGTTATTATTTCCCACAGAAGGTGGAGGTTGAGGTGAGCCTCTAGGGCTGAGTAAAATTTCAAAAGCTAGCAAGGGAAAGCAGAGGGAACATTCTGAGCAAAGGCTCAGGGGAAGAAAGTTTTCAGAAAAAGATGTCCAGCCCTGTGTGTTTGTACAGTGCAGTGTGTGGGTGATCATGGGAATGGGTGGAGTTAGCAAGGGTTGGAGGTATGGCTAAAGAAGTAGGTCACCAATCTCAGAAGGCTGAGGGCTGAGTTTGGTACAAGGGTTTCCAAAGAGGAGTGCATGCTCCCAGGAGGGTGTGCAAATCATATTGGAATCTTCTTTTATATTTACTTTTATTTACATAAAAGAAGTTAAAATTCATATTACTTCCTTTATAGATTGACTAGGGGACCCATGTCAGATCCATAAGTCAAAAGATTCCATGTCACATCTCCAGCTATGGTTATTCTGAGGGAGGGGTAGGGATTCTATGCCCTAGAGTGTCCATGAGGTACCCACACCGCTGTTCTCATTTAGATAATTTTTTGGATTTATGGAATCTTTACCTTTATCTAACTTAATAAATCTTCACAAAATGGACAAGTGGTTTTGAAAGATTCCTGCAAAGAACTCATGGATTGAGAATGACTCTTGTAACAAATACAAGCAAACAACAAGAAAATGGCAAAGCTGATTTTTCTCCTATTCTTGGCTTGTCACTGGCCACATTTCAGGGGTTAAAACCAGCGATGATCTAATCACATATAACAAGCAGTAGGCAAATCAATCAATCAATAAATAAAATACCCTTAAAATTCTCAGGAAGAATGCTTGACATATGGGTTTACATTCCTGCGATTAATGATGAACCCCACCTACAGTGTTGATCATGTCTTGGGATGGTAGAAAAGATAGTATGATGTTTTGAAGATTAACACATATTTTAAAGCATTCTTTAATTCTTATGTATCTCTCCTTTTATCATTTCTATTTTTGCTTTATTTTTATAATGTGCATAGTATATTGGCATGGTTTGACGCACATGCATACACACATATTATAAATCAGTATGGGCACACAAATTATAAATCTTTTTAACTGGTGAGGCTCCATGCTCAGATGAGTTTGGAGACTGCTGACTGGGGCCAAGAGAAATCATTCTTGGAGGTCCTTCAACAGTGGGAGGCATGATGAGAGCTGTGTTTGTGGTGATAAATGTGATCACATATTCTCAAGGGAAAAAAAAGTGTTGCACAAGGAATCAGAGAGGTGGAGTCTGAAAGAGAGTCATTAAACTTGGCTCTTCCTCTTTCAGAGACGTTGTTCTCTCTTCCTTACGAAGGTAAACCACAGGCCTCCTGCATCTGGCAGCAGGAGCTCTGTAGGACATGTTCCCAGAGTCAGGCTTTCTTTGGCTGTCTGCACAGGAAGAAGATTGCGTAGAACATCCTTCAGCTAATTTCCTCTCTTCTGCAGTTCTAGCTTTATGAGAAACCAATCCTGAAACAGTCCTCAGCTTTGACTTACAGCAGAGGTGAGCGAGATTATCGTTGTGACATGGGAGCTCCAGGCTTTCCTGCCTGAAAGAGGCAGGATTTGAGAACGGTCAGAGGCATGGGCTCTGCAGTTAGACAATCTACATCCAGTTCTACCAGGTATTCCTGGACTCACCTTAGCCAATTCCTTACTTTCTTTATGCCATGATTTCCTCATCTGTAAGTTGAGGTTAACCATCATACCTGTGCGGTAGTGGTGAGGAGTAAATAAGACAATGGGCGTGAAAGACAGAGTGTGATTTTCAGCATAGAATAAATTCCCAAGGCATGTGAGTTCTTCTCATTACAAAGGAATGAACTGGAGCATGGTCTGAAGGGCCCTGGGGAAGAAATGAGGAAGGAGGCTTCCAGGAATACAGATCCTTTAATCTCCTTAAAGCAACATCCAAACAAAAGTATAAATCTCTATGGAAGCCAGCACACTCAAGGCTGCCAGTTGGGGGTGGCAGGCAGGGCCAAGATGGCTGCCTCTGAGTCACCCTCTCTCCTTGACTCATCTGTCACCTCTGTCATCTCTGGCTATTGCCACAGTTTCTCGTGAGAAATTATGAAATAAATGGACTGTGCAGTAATGCCTGGGTGACTGGGTGAATCCTGGGCATGTGGCCAACGCTCCATGCACTTTAAATGCCCTTAGGTTTAGTGAACTCCACATGATTTAATTTCCTTAAAGAAAAAAAAAGAGTGCTGATAATCATGCTCAGAAGGACTTACAGATGCAAAGTTAACATTCCGAGGCCTTCCAGGGTGAGACTTACACAAAGCAGAAAGATGTGGTGGGTGACAGGAGTGAACCATGTTCATTCATAGCCAGTCTCTCTGTTTCCAGACGTAAGCCAGTGCCTGGAGGACAAGAGCACGTAATCGTGGTCATCACACCAGTAGCTTTGCTCATGTGTACTGGGATAGAGAATTTCCGAAGTACTTTCGTATGTGATGATGATGATATTAATTAATAATAAATTCTTTCACTTGGCCCTTTATCTCCTCCTTTCTCTTTCAATCACCCAGCAGTTCACGTGGAAGCATCATGATCCCCATTTTACTTGTGACAAAACTGAGGCCCAGAGAGACTTTGAGGAACCTGATCCCAGTCACACAGCTGGAAAGGAGGAGAGTCAGGTGAAAACCCAGGTCTTCTGGCTAAAAGCAGAGTCTTCTTTCCACTCTATTTTGTTCATGTGATCTTCATAAAACACTCCAGATCCCTTTGGTCTGGAGGGAAGTTCCCTTTTCTGTTACTCCTTTTGTCTTTCCCCAGCAGGTCTGGCCATTGCATGACCATTGATTTGTCAATTTCTCTGTGATAGCAGTGCATTACACCATATGCTGTTGATCATCTTATGAGCGTCTCTCCCTGAAGAGATTGTGATCTCCTGAAGAACTGGGATACTATCTAACTCATCTGTGTATGCCCAGCACCTAGCCCAGAGCCTGCTATGTGGTCCACGCTTATTGATTGAATGATGAATAAATTAATGCCTCCGAACTAAATGTCCTTTGTACTCCTTTCTGCCTCTTCTATTTTTATCTGTCCTTCTAGCCCCAGCTCAGGGCCCATGATGTTGTCCATCTCTTCTGAACCTCTATAGAACCATAGGCTCTCAGCCATATCCTTAGAGCATATATATCTTATCTCTTCAAAGGGTTCTTGAGGGTAGAGATTAAATCTGAGTGTCCAAAGGGTCCCTCATGAGATCTAGGCCAATTCTAGGTAGAGTGGGTACGTGGTGAGTACTCATGCCCATGTTCACATGGTTGCCTGCACTTTGGCAAGAGCTGGTGGAACAGGTTGGTGACAGAGCCCAAGCAGAGACTTAATTGGTCAGAGGCAGAAAAGCAGATGGCCAAGAGCCCAGCCTTTACCTGGCTTATCAGCATACCCCTTTCACAATCACTGAAACTGTGTCTCATGGACACTTTTACAGATGGGTAATTCCTTGAAGCCAGACAATAGATCTGTGAAGAGATCAAGCTTCAGGGGGAAAAATTATCACTGCAACTTATTTGTGTAAAAATATGTGAACCAGAGACTCATTGTCAGAAAGGAACAAATATGAGGGACTTTGTGAACCAGTTGGATGTGAAAAGGAACAGACCAGGAAACTGGGACACTGGGCTAGTTAATTAATGACTTGGTGAACTAGTAAGGTAGTTTGCTTAAATGAGGGGGGAAGACTATGATTAAAAATAAATACATTAAAGGAGGTAACAACCAACAATTTTATCAAGTGCTCATCTCTTTTGGTCCAATAGTTCCACTACTGGAGATTTATTCTAAGAAAATAATCCAAGCCTAGGAAAAGGGATGGCAGGAAAGTGCCCAAAGAGGTATTATTGATAACAGAAGTGAATTGGAGATAATATCAATGGCCCAGGATAATTTTGAAATGCTGATATAAATGACAATGTATTCACTAAAGTTATATTTTGAAGCCATTCAAATGGGTCATTATAAAGACCACATTGGAATTGTTCATTGTGTGGTGCCTATGACAAAGATTAGAATACAAAATTATATTTGTGCTGCATGTCCAACACTGTGAGAAAATATGATTTTTTGGAAAAGACAGGAAAGAATAGAAATAGAGGATCTATAAAGATAGTAAGCTTGTGGGTGGCTTTTTATTTCCATAATCATGGTATTATGTATTTGTATAATATAAAAAAAATGGATGTTCATCAGATACTTAAAAGAAAAAGAAAAACACCTTAACATGAGGTATGTTGCACCCAGTTGCCATTTCAGAAAGGTTAAACATGAGACATGATCTTTTCCGAACCCTCATCTTCAAACACAGGTCCAGCTTAGATTTGTTTCACTGGTGACAAGTTTGAAATCGTGTACTTGAAAGTCAGAAAGACTTTGGACCCATAGCTATGGATATGGATATGGATATGGATATGGATACAGATATGGATGCACACATGGGTATGGATATAATTTCCCTGGAAAGATAGACCTCATGAGTCCTCTCATGTACCAAATGCCTCATGCAAAATGATGCCTGTATATGAAGAGTGGAAAGATTATGAATGTGTGGATTTCAATGCCCTTCAAAATGCATGAGAGCTTAAAAATTAAGGGAGACCATGTTTAAGGGATCCAAGTGAGGCTCATCTTGCAGTAACAAATTTAAACTATGAACCATATACAGCACAGAAAGTGCTTTGGTTTTGGGGTAGAATCCCAGTTTATAAACTTTTTTCCTTGTCATCCATGTTAGTGTCATTATAGACTTGCTTTTGGCAACCATTTTTTTTTGAACCACTTTATTGAGATATTATTGACTTACAAAAAGTTACACGTATTTAATGTATACATTTAATGAGTCTGGAGATAAGTATCCATCCATGAAAACATCACTACACTCCATGTCAAAAACATATCCATTCCCTCCAAAAGTTTATTTTCCCATTCTTATTTATTATTATTATTGTTATTATTATATGTGTGATAAGAACACTTAACATAATATCTACCCTCTTTGCAAAATTTTAAAAATACAATACGGTATTTTTAACTATAGCCACTATGCTGTACAGTAGATGTCTAGGACTTATTCATCTTGTATAACTGAAACTTTGTACCCTTTGACTAATACCTCCCCCTTTCTCCTGCTCCTCAACCCCTGGCAACCACCATTCTACTCTCTGCTTCTATGAGTTTTACTATTTTATATTCCTCATGTAAGTGGTATTATGTCAAAATGGATTAAAAACTTAAACATAAAATCTGAAACCATAAAACTCCTAGAAGAAAATATAGGAAGAAAGCTTCCTGATATTGGCTTTAGCAGTGATTTCTTGGATATGACATCAAAGGAGCAGGCAACAAAAGCAAAATAGACAAGTGGGATTGCATCAAACTAAAAAGCTTCTGCACAGTGAAGGAAACAATCAACAAAATGAAAAGGTAACCAACAGAACAGAATGGGAGAAATTGTTGCAAACCATGTATCTGATAAAGGGCTATCATCCAAAATACATAAGAAACTCCTACAACTCAATAGCAAACAACAATTAATCCAATTTGAAAATGGGCAAAGGAACTGAATAGACATTTCATCAAAGAAGACATACAAAAGGCAATTGTTTAAATAAATGCCAAAAGCTGAAAATTCCTTTTTATTTTTTTACTTAAATCAAAACCTGAACTTTATAACAAGGGATGTAAAACCAAGAAAATTAATTTTGATTTCTTTATTTTCCTATCTGGCATAGTTCAATGACATATAAAATAATTGTTAGTTGTTCATGACTTTTGCCCCTGAAGCAATCTAGTTGTACTGGATGATATTTACTTTATAAAATTTTACTTTTTTTTTTTTTTTTTGCACTTTACTACCCATTTAATTAATAGTCTCATTTTGAAATTGCCATCCCAAATAATGAAAATTCCTCTTGTTACTATTTAATCTGTCTTCTAGGTTTGAGACACCCCAGTTCCTCATTCCAAATAATTTTTACTAGATCCACAAATTTTCCTGGAAAGATTGATCCATTTGTACCGTGAAAAGCACCATCATGTTTGGCTAAGTATTGGCTAAATAATATTAATCTAAAAACTTTATACTAATATTCAAAGCAAATGTTAGCTTTTCTTTGTCTCTGTTGCATTTTATCAACTGCTGTTTTTTTCCAGCTTCTTAATTTTTCAGTCCACCACCTACTCTTAAGTAGGCTTTTCTGTGTACAAGTCAATATGTTCACTTTCATTACTTCTATTTTAAAGAATTAAGCAGACCACCTCTTTATTTCTTTTTCTCCTCAAACTTTCATCTTTTCTTAGGTCCTCCTGTGCTTTTTCTATTTCTGTTATCTAGACAGGTTCTCATTTTTAATGATCTAAAAATGTGCTGTTCAATATAATTGCCACTAGCCACATGTGGATATTTAAATTTTAAATTAGTTAAAATTGAATAGAAATTATTAAAGTAAAAGTTCCTCAGTTCCAGTAGCCACATGTCACATGCTCAGTAGGCACGTGTGTCTAGTGACTACCATTTTGGCAGCACAGATGTAGACCATTTTCATCATAGCAGGAAGTTCTACTGGACAACACTGATCTAAAGGATTGCAAAACAAATTGTTCATTGTATTCAAAGCGTATAACATTTGAATATAATTTCATGAAAAATGTACATGAAAGTAAATGTAATGCATTTAAAAATTAAAATTACTTTCCATATGCATTTTCAGAAACATCTTAAATATCAAAAATTATTAACTCCAGTTAAAAAGGAAACTACAAATAAGTTATAATTAATAGATATTAACATCGTAAATAAAAATTATTTAAGTAAAGCTAATTTTAAAGTGTAATTTTTTTAATTTAATCAAATTGTATTTATTTCTGTAAAAAATTAAACTATTGAAAATGCCAGCTTTTAATGCCCGCTTAGTTGCAAATGTTATAAATCGATATCACACTTGTCAGAGAGATTATGTTTCAACCTCCGTAGATACAAATTGATGAGTAATATGAATTGTTTATTTTGCAAAATATTCCTCAACTGTCATGTAAAACTGCTGGAAATTCGTGCTCATTCAGAACTACCAGAGTCATGAATTAGAGCATAAAGAGAAACAAGAAAACGCACACCCAGCAGTACTTTCCTATTAAGGGTCTATTATATTTATGCCATCTGAGAGGAAGGATGTGACAAGTTAATTCATTGTTTAATTTCTCTTACCTAAGTGCTTTAACCATTCAAATCCTCCCTGTTCTCCAAAGCAGTATAGGGCAAAAGATCTGAAGATCTGGGGACCTGACTGACGTTTGTCACAAGAACTGATGTTTCTGGTTATGGTTCTTGCTGTGCCAGCTCTGAGTACCAGATTCTGAATGACAGAAGAGCCCATGCCGTCTTTTTCAGACTTATTTGTTTTCATGTTTGTGATATGCCACGGTACCTTTCCTCAAAGGTGAACTTGGGGCCTTCTTGCCTGGGTCTCAGGGCAGTAAGAGTCACATGGATGTGATAAGTAACATGGCTAAGGGACTGATAGCCGGGTTGGACAGACCTCCAGCAGATACAGTTGATGGAGCACTTCCATGTACTACAGATCAGGCCCTCTTCAAGGGAACCCAAAAGGGAAGGCATTACTGTCCATCAAGCCCATCTCCTAAAGGGCAAACTGAGTCTTTAGAAGAGGGAAACAACTTGCTCAAGACAGCAGAGTTGAGAAGAGGCAGAGCCACGTTTTAAAACCAGGGCTGTCTGAAGCCATAGCTCTTAGCCTAACCACTCCACATCCTACCCCAGATGGATGGCTGCATCTCCAGCTCCCTGGAGTCAGTCATCTGAAGGGAGGCTCTTTCTGGGAAAGGGCTGGTGCTGAAAGCTGCCTTTTTGCTGGCTGAGGACAGTAGGGTTGAATATAGATGAGATGAACCCTGAGAGTGTGGATCCCCATCAGGAAGACGACTGGGGAAGAGAGGTGCTGCCACTGCCACATGGATCTACTCGCAACTCTC